CACTGGAGGGGGAAGCACCTCTTTCAGGAAGGCCCTGCTTCCACCAGCATGTTAGTGACATGGCACCAAGGAAAAGATGGTCTAAGGAGAAAGGGAACCCTGACTTTGACACCAGCTCTGCTGCCAAGTACATAATTTGGGGTGAGGGACTTCACCTCTTTGACCTCATTCTGCATCTGGAAATGGAGGTAAGAATGCCTCCCTCCCAGAATGGTTGTGAAGATCCAATCCGCACTGTGTATGAGACCGCTAACCCAGCATGCAGCTTCTGGAGGTGCTTGGAAAATGGCAATGCTCACCATATTTTTCTTCATGTGCATAAAGTCTCATTTTAAGGCCCAATATTTTAGAGACAATGGTGGAAGCAAATAGGAACAACAATACCTGAGATCCAGGAATACATTTGCAAAAGTTTCTGCTTAACAACTGAACTCAGAGCAATCGCAATGGAGAAATTGAAACTCTTTCACCATGAGCAGCTCAGCCCTGATCCCAAGTCGAGTCTGGCCTAATGGACATACCAGGCAATGAGGGTGAGGGTCCTTGACCAGGAGCAAAGCCCAGCACTGTCCAGTAGAAATATAGCCCACACCACATATGTCATTTCTAATCTTCTAGAGCCACATTCCAAAAGTAGAAATGTGTGAAAGTAAATTTTAACAATATATTTTATTAAATCCAGAATTGCCAAGGTATTGTCATGTCAACATGTAATCAATACAGAATATTGTTGAGATATTTTACAAGGTTTTCTTTGCACTAAGGAAAACGCACACTTTGCACTAAGTGTGCGTTTTACATTCACAGAACATCTGGATTCAGACCAGCCATGTTTCAAGTGCTCATTAGCCACATAGGGTTGGTGGCCACTCAAGTGGACAAAGTGGCTCTAGGGCAGAGGTTGGCAAATTGCCCATGAGCCAAATCCCTGTGCTGTCTGTTCCGAACAGCCCTGTGAGCTAAGAATGGTTGTACACACTTCAATAATTGGAGGGAAAATGTCAAAATAAGAATATTTGTAATACATGGAATTATATGAAAATCAACTTTCTTCTTTTAAACCCTGAAACTGAGTTTTATTTACTGTGTTAGTCATTCCTATTTGTTTAGAGTGTCTCTAATTGATTTCATGCTACCATGGCCTAACTGAGCTCTTTTGACAAAGACCCGATGGCCTGCAAAGCTGAAAATATTTACCATCTGGCCTTTTGCAGAAAAAGTTTGTCAACTCATGCTCTAGGGAGTAGCTCCTCTTAACACTGGGCTTCCAGATCTCTCTGAGTGTGTAGAAATGAGCAACTGCACCCAGATCCACCAGGAAGCCGACCTCCCAGCTTTGTTGTGAGACTTGGTAGCACTTTAATAAACTGGATTTCCTTCAGATTCTGTTTCTTATGTCCAAGCCTTCCACTGTAAAGTCCTAAGCAAAGAATCCTAAAGGAACAGCCTTGAGGAGAGGCCTCAGCCAGGGTGACCTTCAGTTGACTGTGACAGTCGCCATCCCAGCACCAGGCTGGTCAGATGGGGAGAAGGGCAGCCCTGTAGAAGGGGCCTCAGCAACCTGGGCTCTTTCAGGCTGTGAGCTACAAACAGGGCCCTGCCCCCATAATTCTAGCCCCTCTGAGCTACACATTAGCAGGCAACACCCCACCAACCCAGCACTCCTGCAAGAGAGGTCCTCCTGCTCAGGCCCCTCGGCAGGCAGCCAGCGCAGCTGGGCCTGAGCCCCCGAAGCGAGGGCTCCTCCAGTGAGGCACCGTCTTGCTGTCAGCCTTGGAAACACACTCGTGCTGTGCTCACAGTGGGCACAGAATCCCCATAACAAATCAGTAGCTAAGGAGGTGCCTTGCAGGCATTGCCCTCTCTGCAGGGAGAGGCAAGGAGAACAGGTGGGTCAGAGAAGGCTGTGTCCTGCACTTGGGCTGGGAGAGTACTAACTGGATAGGTGGGCAGGTGAGCCCTCATCTGCATCCTCTGTGCTGCTATTAGCTATGGCATCCTGGGACCTCTGCAAGCCTCAGTTTCATCATCCTTAAAAAGGAAACATTAACTGCCATCGTACAGGGAGACTGAGGACTTTGTGGAACAAAGCGCAGAAAGTGTTTTCCTGGCACATAATGAGTGCTCAGGAAATATCAGTTCTCCATATCTCATCCTTCCCTAGCTCCCTGATGGATGGCAATTCATAGGGATGGGACAAAATCATGCAGGGACCTGTGATCAGGAGTGTATACGGTGTGGGTTAATTGATGTGAGGACTTAGAACCATGTGGTGCACAAAGTAAGCATTCTACATGTGCTGGCTAGCATTTTCATTTTGCTATTATTATTATTAAGCCATGGAAATGCACCACCTTCCTGAAGAACTTTACAGAAATGACTACTAAGGAAAGCTGGGTGATAACAAAGAAACGTTCCCTGACAGGAAGTCACATATAACCAGGATGCAAAGTTAAAAGAATCAGTTGAGTGGCTTCCTATCATTTGCAGGGATATGAGTTTCAAACACCCAGAACCAGAAATTGGCCTGAAGGACCCATTCGGCACTGCCCTTATTACCAGCTTTTGAACATTTCTAATTAATACCAATACAGAGCAGATTAAATTTGCTGCAAAATTAAGTTAGCGATCACCACGTGTGGCAAGGCCATAGCTAGATCGTTTTTTACCCACTCTGTTGGGTGGGTGTGCTGCCCTCACAGTGTTCCAGAGGCCTTGCTGAGGGGTGCAGCCAGTGAAGCCACTGCAAGGATGGGCCACCACTGCAAGGATGGGCCACCAGAGCACGCCGCCTGAGGACAGCTTTATTTATGCTCTTGCAGAATGTACAAGTGGCCTTGTTTTTCTGGATGGCTAGGGAGCACACTGGCTCACATAGCATCCATGGTTCCACATTTAGAGTTGTGTCTTCATTCACATTCTTTCCATGCAGCTCACAGCTCCTGGACTGGACAAGAGTGGTCACTTTGCCTGGGCCAGTCCCCTGGACAGATGCCAGCTCTCGGCCATGCAGACCCTGAGCGTTCTTGGTCTGGAGCTTGGGCTCAGTTCTGCAGCTGTGTTTCCAGCTGGGGATGGTCTGCATCAGGATGACCACTGTAACCGACACAGACATGGGGGTCTACTACATGGGGCAGATGGGGGCACTTCCAGGAGAAGTCAGGTTCTGCAGGTGTCAGCTATGCTCAGGCTTGCTGGATGGAGCCTCCAGCCAAGCTCTGAGGGCTGCCTGCTCCCAGGACAGGCTCTTGCTGGGTCAACTGTGTTTTATTATTCTCTCCCGACCCCTCCTGCTGACGTCATTAACAAAGCTACCCGCCACTGCCCAGCCCCTGGAACATTCCCCAGCCATCCCACGGTGCTCTTTCCTCAATCAGCCACTTCAAGCAAACACCATTCGCTCCTGCTGCAGAGCAAAGCTTGCCGTTCCTAGGATCCTAAACAAGACATGAGGTCATGCTCTCCACCTGTGAAGAATGAAACGTAAGCTGGGGAAGGAAGGTGCTGAGGAGGGGAGGAAAGCAAATTAGGAAGACCAGGGGCCCTGCCGAAGCTTTCAGCTCATGTTACTCACACCCCGAAGCGAACTCCTCCATAAAATGAGATTTAGTAATGCAACATTTTCTAACATCAGATGACATATGAACTGACTGTAAATTTGTTTCAATGTGTAATGGGGGAAGGGAAATTAACAAATATATCAAATCCATGATCTATTAAGTATTGTCATTTTCCATAAACTTCTTCTGTTAAAGACAAAAAGCAAGTCAATTTAAATTTTCTTTAAAGGAAAATAGTAAGTAAATGTTGATACAGATGGTTGAGGTGTAGCAAAAATCATGGGAAAAAATAACAAATAAATGACTAACATTTTGGGAAGCTTTGCAATAGACGAGCATATTCATGTACAGGAACTCCTCTGACCCTGAAGCCCACAGAGCACAGGCATTCTCTCCACTTTAGAGATGGGGAAACTGAGCTTCAGGAAGGGTAAGTATGTGACATGTCAACTGGCTAGGAAATAATGGAGCCAGCACTCAAAATCCTGTGTACTTTTTAAATGTTGGCTCCCATCTCAAGTTGATGGTTTTTATCTGCCCTGTTGGCATGTGTTTGTTTTGGCAAACAGGTGAGGTAGGGAGGTGAGTGGGTAAAATTGAGGGGTTCACTTTGGGCCTCCCTCAAAGCATCTCTGAGTGCGGAGCAGCGAGCAGTCATCCCCACAGCGAGGTTCTGAAGTGCTCATGGCAAAAGGCAAGTCCTGAGGCTCCCAGGAGGAGGCGGGTCTGAATGCTCCTGCTGGTTGGGATCTCACAACTTAGTCTGCAGGGCAAGGAGGAGCTGTTCTTTCTGACTTGGTTTAGACAAAAGTACATAACCTGGGTCCCCATGACCCTGGCTGTCAGCCGGTTCAAGGCTGGAGGTGGTGCCAGGCCCCAACTTGGGGCTGGGACACAGGTTGCCGCCCTTGAAGAGCCCACAGGGGCAGAAGGGACAGTCTGCAAATAGACCCAAAGACACAGCGCACTGCAGACTTGCAGAGGTTTTGAGTGCTACACAGAGCTGGACACCCAGCGGGCGCCAGTCATCTCCGCTTTCTCAGGCCACAGGCAGGGAAGCATAAAAAAGAATCTTGGAAAGAAACGGGGGAAAAAAAAACACTCTTGCATTAAATCCTAGTAGCAAACAGACTATCCTGGAGCCAGCTTGGGAGAGTAAGAAAGGCACTCTGGGAGCTGGCATGGCACAAGCCAAAGAAAAGCCAGTGGAAAAAGTTGGGGAGTCTGCGGGAAGTTTGGGGAGCAGGTGACCCCAGGCCGAGACAGAAAGCAGCCATCGGGAAGGCAGGCATGAGCCCACCTCAAGGTTGCGGGGAGGCCAGCCCTTCCCAGAGATGGAGAGGGGATCCCTTGCCTGGCAGAACGGGACTTGTCCACTGGTGCTTGGACTTTGCAAACAACTGGGCTTGCTGTAGCCAAGCTCACCAAGTAGACACTTACCTTGCCTCTTCCCCGATTATTTCATATCCTTCTGTAACTCTCACCCTGAGACCCAGCCTGGCCTTCCCCCAGCTGCATATTATTCTGCTCCAAAAGCACAGCAGAGGACGGCTCCTTACTCGAGGAATGCGGGCGGCGGTCGTCCAGAGCCGATGATGAAACGGGCTATTTCTGCCCCGGGACATCAGCAGGGCTCCGGGTGCTGGCTCCAAGGCACACACTCTCCTGTTTTTAATGTTTCCCTAAACAAATGTTTTCCTTCCAACCTTGGGATATTTTTATTTGACTCTAGGTGCTGGAATAGCTTTAGCAATCGTTCTGGGTTGAAGTTGGAATCGTGGTTAGGGTCCGGCTAAGCGGCAAGCAGTTTCTCACTCCCCAAGTGATCTGTTACTCGTGGCTGATCTGGATGTAAAAATAGCAGCTGAGGCTGTTTGTTTAATCTGACTGTTACTTGACACCACGCGGGTGTTGCAGTGCGGACTGTTTGCTTCTTCCCCACCAAGAACACCATTTGGTTTCCCCCGGCTGGGTCTCTATTTAGGTAAGCTTCGGGGACTTCCCGTGTCTGGCCAGCTTCTGGTCACTGATCTTCCTCAGGTGGGTAGGTTTGTGAGCTAGACGAGGCTTGGGTCCTGAGTCTACTCTCCTATCACCTTTGGGCAGCCTGGCTAAAGAGAAAAGAAGTCTTGGCTGCTGGGCAGAGCCGGGGTTCTCTCCCATTCCCGAGGAGGCCTGAGCAGCTGAACACGCAGAGAGCGGAAGGTACAGCCCAGACACTTGTCTGGCTCCTTAGCGTGGGCAGGGAGGCTCAAGCTCATGGCGGAAGGGACGTTCCCGCTGAGCCGATGCTGTGCTGGGGAAGTAGTTTGGTGCCAAAGTGCTGTGCTGGGGAAGTAGTTTGGTGCCAGGGTGCTGTGCTGGGGAAGTAGTTTGGTGCCACGGTGCTGTGCAGGGTGGTATGTGTGTGCCGAGAGCCCATTGGTGTTGGGGCTGAGGTTCTTGGTGTGCTGGATGGGCCTTGGGGACCACGTACAGGGAACCGTGTACATGCGTGACTTTGTCCTTAGGTGTCATCTGTCAGGGATCTCTGCTCCCACATGGCTGAGTGAGAGCACAGATGTGCCCAGGCCACTGCGTTGTCAAATGGGGGGCTCCCCATGGTCCCAGGTTTTCGGCAGTCAGGGCTGAGGGAGGCTGGCTGTCTTGGCTCCCCCAGCGCTGGGCCAGGCAGGGACACACCAGCTGTAACAAAGAGGAAAACTGGTGACTGAGACGTTCTGGCCTGTGGGCTCTGTGAGCATGTGTGTCCCCAAAACAAAGCATGCCACAGGCTGCCAGTTCTTACACACCCTGGGAGGGCCCCCACCAGACTCCCACAGGGTAGGCTTGACTGAGTCTAAAATTACCTCTTTTTTTTTTTCTGGTGGAGAAGAATTGATCATTGAGAACGGCAGTGGTCAGTGTGTGTGGAAAGCTAGATAGCCTTAAGAAGAATCATTGTGTAGGTCTTTTGGGTAGCTCAATAAGATAGGAACCTATGTGTGTAGTAAATGAGGTCCCATTTTCTAGCATTTGAGTTCCCTTTACAGTAGTGGCTGGTAACTCTGGTCTGTGGTCTGAGCACCTGGTTTTGTAAATAAAGTTTTATTGACACACAGCCACACTCATTGATTTGCATATTGTCTAAGGCTGCTTCTACACTATATCAGCAGAGACCATATGGCCTGCAAAACTGAAAATGCTTACAATGTGGCCCTTTACAGAAAAAGTTTGCTGACCACTGTGTTACAAGAACACTTCTGGAGATGGGTCAATTTAATACAAAAAAAAAAAAAGCAGTGAAAGTTCTTGCTGTTAGAATAGCTTGCAAGCCAGACCCTTCAGGACCAGTGGCTGGCTGGCTTCTGAGCCTCCTGCACCTTCCAGGGCCCACTTTTCAGGCCTGACTGGTACAGGAAATGTCCAGTTTGCTGTCCTGGTGCTGGGAGGGTTAGCTTAGTAGTAGAATCACCAGACACACAGCGTGTCCATGTGGCCTGGGCTGAGCAGGGCAGATTGTGCTTATCGGGGTGATTTATAAATAGCCTTCCCCGGGTGACCCAAGTCCAACACACATCTGCCCCTGGGTCTCTGGGATGGAAACAAGTTTGTCTGCTCTTTGGGAGAAGAAGCTCATTGGGAAGGGAACAGCTGTGTGCAATGGGTAGGAAGGGGGCTGGTAGAATGCTGTGTCCTGGAGCAGAGGGGCTCAGGTCTCCTGGAACCTGGGGAGAGAGAGCTGTTGAGAATAGATAGGAAGGCCAAAGATGGCCTTGTATCCTCCCACCTTGATTCCTTTTTGCCAGGGCAGAAGTAAGTGTCTTTGTCTTTTCCTGACCCTAAGGAAGCCCTGGAGACCCTTACTGAAGAGGGGAAGCCTCATGTCTTGAAATAGCCCTATTCATCCAGTCTCTGCCAGAAATCTCAGGAACCCAAGCCTACTGGTGGCACCGGTACTTCCTCATTGGCTCTCGGGATTTTACTCCATATGCCCTGGATTACTGGAGGGAAGCAAAGGGCTTCGAGAGAAGGCCATGCTACAGGGGCACACAGGGCTGCTGCTCCCCAACAGGGCCCACTGAGGCTGGAGTGGATTTTGGTTTTATTTCCATTTGAAAGTTTAAACGTCATTTCACAAAATCCAGCCAGTCCATAGTCCATAGTCCTTAACTCAATCATATGCTTCATTTAGTTAATTGGAAAAATCTGACACCCCCCTCATTTCAACTTGGTTTCCAAGGATTGCATGGCATGAGCTGGCGGATGGGACAGAGCGGGAAGGACAAGGGATCAGTGGAGGCCTATCAGGACCTATACATGGAGCATGTAGAGCACATGCTGATGCTCAAATGTGTCACCCCCAGTGTAACTCATCGGTATCACTCTGGAACCTGGAATGGGCTGCCTGTGGGAAGAACACAGTGTGATCAATCCACAGCCTCCTGATGTCGAGGGGAGGCAGAGCAGATTCTCAGCAGACCTGGGTTCTCAGGGGAAAGACTGAAGTCAGCTCAGTGCAAAGTGCATTCCCTTCCAAGCCCAAGTCAGACGGCCTGCAGGGAGTCTGACAGAAAGAAAATCCCAACAACCAATCAACCATGAATAGCTTCCTCCCCAGACTTAGACACCTCCCTGTCTTAGATGAAGGGGAAAGGGACGTTCTTCTGGGCCATGACACGTGGCAGATAGGCAGGGCTTCCTTACATCCTCCATTCTCTGCTTGACCAATCCCAGGGGCTCCTTTGCTTCCCCCCCACTCTGGGCTGTCTTCCCTTGCCTCAGTTGGTCCCTTCTTTCACTACAAACGCCCTTCCCAGGTGAGCTTGAGCTGCTGAGTGGCTGCAAGGCTGGCTGGAGGGAAGGATTTAATCTAGGATATCTCCCATCTCAAAGCCTTCACCTGAAGCTTGTGGAGGGCAGGGGGAAGGGGAGCCTCTCCAATTTGCTTGAGAAGCCTCTGAAGCAGTTTCTGAGGCTCTCTCCCTACTCCCCACTGTGTTGGAAGGCTGGTTCCAGACCTGGCAGCACTGAGCCTGCCTGCGAGGGCCAGGTCATGCCAGGTCACATTGGAACTGCCCTCGGCTTGCCCCGTCCCGGGCTGCCAGGCCACAGTAGCACCACCAGCTCATCCTCTCACCTGGCCGTGTCTGCCACCCTCAGAAGCAGATAAGCCCAAAGACTGAAGAGGTCAAGGGGTGACAGCTCAGGCCCCCTGGGCTGCACCCACTAGATGCGAGCCATTTCTTGCCCTCAGTTTGCCCACCATTTCCCCTGTGGAAATCATTGGCTGTGGACCTCCTGTGTGCACAACTTTGGAGTGTCTGGTCTCATTCTCAACCATCCAGCACAGTAGGTCTTGTGAGCCCCCTCATGGAGGCAGGCGCCGAGGCTTGGAGAGGTTAAGTGACTTGCCTAAGGATGCACAGTGAATGAGGGGCTTGAGATCTGAATGCAATGCCCATGTCTTGTCCTCATTGCTTCCTGATACCTAGAGCTCCCATCACCACCCAACAGATTCTCTAGAAAGGGGGCTGTCCCATCACCAAAGAGTCAAAACCTCCCTTAGGAAAGTCGAGCATGCCTAGAGAGGCACACAGGCTTCACCCCAGCTCCTCAGGACTTCAGGAAGTTGCCCAGGGTGCCGCAGGGATTCCACACTGTGCTGGGAAGCCTGTGGCTCTGAAGGGGCCACAGGACAGGCAAATCTGGGTTCACAGGTCAGCCCTGACACTTCTTAGCAAGGCCCCTAGACCTCAGCTTTCTCCTGTGTAAAATAAGAATAATAACACCTCCCACATCAAACAGTCCTGCGAGCATTAACTGAGCAAATGAATGAAAAGTTCTCAGCATGTGGTAGAAATACAAGAACTGCTCTCCTCACTCCACTGTCCTATTTGGAGATTTTTTTCCTCCCACTTAAACTCTAACTTGGGCCTATACTTTCCAGAGGTCACCAAGGAGAAAGTCCTATGCCTCAGAGTTCAGCTAGTTCATGCTCACAACTCAGTGGGAGAGCAGCTGGCACCACCCAGGACCGACCCTAGCCCCACGGTGACCATGAATGGTGATCACCTCCCCTCTTGTGCGGAAGAGGTCATGGATCTGAGCATCTTCAGCATGTGGGGTGGGTGGAAGATCAAGCCTGAGTGGGACAGTAATATTCCCACCTCTGAGCCAGGCTCAGTACAAGGGCAGACACAGCACAAACCACAGCCATTGACAAGCATCAGACCCGAGTGGCCCAAGAGACTATGACTTGTTAGTACAACCTCCCTGAAGCAGGGGAAACCCATCGCTCAAGACCCAGATCAGCTTTCTCCAGGTGTGGTCTCAGGACCAGCAGATCTCCTGAGTCCTGAGCAGGACTAAGAGCTGTCTGTTAAGCCAGCCCCCAGGGCATTTTGAAAAGTGTGAGGATGCTTCCTTAAGAAGGGAAAGTGGGGCAAGGGGCTGGCACTGTTCTCAGACACAACAGGAGATGCTCCAAGGAGCCAAGTTTTTCACATAAACACAGCCATAGGTTGAAATAAACATGATTGTTAGAGGAGCATCTTTCAGCTTTAAATTTGAAAAGGAGAACCAGGCTGGCCACATCTGAATGGCTTTCCTTGCCGTGAGGAATTCCATGAAGCAGTTGGGTATTGGTCAGCTCTTTACACTGCACTGCGGGAGCCTGTTCTCCCCTTTCCTTCTCCTGGCCGAGCCGCCTCAACCCTGCTGTGCTGGTTGGAGAAAGAACAGCGGTCGTCTACCAGCTACTTCCCAGCCTCCAGCAGAGACATGAGGAGAAGGTCAGGCACAGCTTCAGACCTATGTGAGAGGTTTAGGAATTCCCAGGGGTGCTCTGTGTGAGGCCCCCTTCTCCTTATCCCAGATGCACACAGCTTCGTGGTTTCCAGGGCAGGGAAGATGACCTCTGCAGGAGAGCCAAGTCCTACACATGCCTTCTCTAGCTTTACTAAAGCAAATGCTCCCTGGTGGGACCAGACTCAGAGAGAGATAGGTGAGAATTTGCTAGGAGAGAGGTTGCTACCCACTCCTCACCCTGCACAAACCTGTGGCAGATGGAAGACCATCTCATCTCTTGACTCTCTGCCTCGATGCATTCTGCAGAGACCTGGCCCTGAATCCTGGCTCTGCTGCTCTCTGGCTGTGTGACCTTAAGCTCCTTCCTCAACTTCTCTGACCTTCAATTTCTCCACCTAAAATTCCTTTGGCATCAGTCCTACTCAATTTGCCAGTTGTTGCACCCATTGAGTGAGGCCATGGAGATAGAGTGAGGGACAGGTGGCAGGAGTTCC